CAAAATAAAAAAAAAAAACTACTTGAAGACGACATAAGCTTCAAGCATCCACGGGCCATGGCCATTAGGAATGACTCGCCAAGAGCTTTTGTGTTATTTTTGTTCAAACTGCACAATTGATTTGCTGAGAAATTCCGCATAGTGATGATGATGATGGCTATTTGGACAAGTCAATTAGATTGCACACAAGGATCGGGCAAATACAAAATGTATTGATTCCTGATGGTTTTTAAATGGAGATGGGGGTAGTCACCATCGATAGTCATTCTATCAATTTGGGGGTCCACGTTTTTTTCCCTTTCCATCTGTGATTTTAGGCCAAAAAAAAAATAGTACTGCTTCCGTTTTCCCTACCTACCCTATTCTGACAGCCCCTACCCTTTTTTTTATGGGAAAAATGAGGAAAAACACCCAAAACCATCAATTTCTACCTTTTACCCTTGACTATCCTTTATCCGTAATTCCGTCGTTCTCCAAGAGTGATTATGAATAGCAAACTACATGTACATGAACCTACTGGACAAATAAAAAAAAATCATTGAAGTCATACATGTATTTAATTATACACGTACTTGAATGGCAAATCACAAACTACCAAGGTAAGGAACAGGAAAAATGTCACACTCTGGACCCTGAATTTATAGAATGACCAATTTGCAAATTTCCAGCAATTTCCACCATTGCACGCCAAACGTTGCCTTGGCTGTCTTCCATGACTGGCACATGTCAATGCATGTAGGCCTAATTGTTGTGTGCATCATATTTAAACAAACGGCCTTTGGAATTGAAAAACAATTGATCAGTCGTGCATGTAAAGGTATTCATGTGCATCCATGTACAGAATGCAGTCCACCGATGACTTATGTATTCTTTGATTTTAAACTTTTACAAATACAGTCAAGTCCATGACTACCTCCATGGGTACATTTACACGTACATGTATGTAGTACATGAACCGGTGTACATGTATACATGTACATGTACCGTACATGTAAAGTCAATCACAAGTCATCACGTCAGTGCAACAAGGTCGTAACTCGATTCTGCAACAAAGTCGTATCTCGTGTAGTATCCATCTTATTTTTTCAACTTCTTCAATCACAGTATTCTTACAGGAGCACAGTGAAGTGGCTAATGGTAACTTTGTAATTAATTACCCAATCCAACAGACTTGGCACTCCCAGCTACATGCACAATGCACACCTCGGGTGGCAATTGTGCTCCTAATTGTGCGCCTTGGGTGTAAAAAACACCACGTCATGCATCACAGCAGGACAATTAAGGATTAACCCTCCATAGGAGGGTTAAATGATAAATTGAAGCACGTGCATGACGCCTTTACATGCAGTTGATAGCTTTATAAAGATTTAGTGGGCTATCATTTTTGCATCTGTGCACGAATAGTAATAGGAACTTCGTCACCACCTTCGAAATCCCAGTGGAAGGGATGACACCACCAAGGGTGTGAAATCTCTGCTTTTTACCGGATTTCCGCTTTTTTGTTGAGCTTGCCACATTTTGTTTTACGTTTTTTTTCCCGTATGGGGCAAGTGATGTGCGCATGACTTATTGTATTGTGAATCGAGCACAACCCTGTAGCATCTTCATGTAAGTGTCAGGTGCCGTCAGCCTTGGCCAAGTTCGGGCAAGGACCATTAGTCGACTAGTGGTTGATTTGTGACGTACCTTACGCCTGCGCACTAATAGCAACGTGCGAACGTCTCTAGTCAAACGCTGGTCAAAATGTCGTCGCAAAACTTCTGGATCCTGGCTCTCTCCTAGCGTTATGAATGCGCGCGGCTATTGGTTACCAGCGAAGCAACCAACCCCAGTAGGCTGGTTCCAAATGGTCGACTAGCGTAGTCAACCACCGTCGACTAGACAGAGTTCGGGCAAGCGTTAGTCGAACTATGGTCAACTATAGTCCTTGCGCGAACTTGGCCCATGAGTTTGAATGTCCTTTACAGGAAGGGTGTGCATTTACGGGTAGTATGAGAACCGAGAACCCGCTTTTTAGCGAACCACATTTTGTTTTACGGGGTTTTTTTCGTATGGGGCAAGTGATGTACGCATGACTTATTGTATTGTGAATCGAGCACAACCCTGTAGCATCTTCATGTAAGCGTCAGGCGCCGTCAGCCATGAGTTTGAATGTCCCTCGCAGGAAGGGTGTGCATTTATGGGTAGTATGAGAACCGAGAACCCACTTTTTAGCATGCCACATTTTGTTTTACGTTTTTTTTTATTGTATTGTGAATCGAGAATCGAGAAAAAAAACCTCATTGCGACAAAGATGCTTTTCCGTGTGTTTTTTTTTACAATAGGCAAACGTTATCTGGATCTTTCTTTTTAGTCTGAAATTTAAAAATAGAAAGGCACGGCATGTTGAGTTTCATCCAGAGAATCTGTTGATATCACAGGAAGATAAGCAACTCGGCATAAAAATAAAAGCCTGTTGACGTACATTGCATACTGTGTGCATATTAATTATTAAGCTGTGCTCGCATTGTCTTGTGTTATCCAAGATTAAACAAAAAAAATTGAAAACTTCTGCAATATTTTTAGTCCATCGTTGCTATGTTTCCAAACTGCTGTTGCGTGTTTGAAAACGTTTGCCTGTTCACTTGCACTTGCTAAGAATAGAAATAAAGATTGGCAATTTAGATTCAGTGTGTGATAGCAATTTGAAATGAAAAGTAATTTTTGTTTTGTGTGTTTGATTAAACAGGGACTTGAAAATTGATTTCAAAGGATTGGTTTGGTGCAAATAAAGCTAACTTTTACCGGATTGAGAGATACCATTATTCGCACAATTTAATAGTAAATAATGTTTATATAAATTCGTTGACCATAATTGTATGAATTAATTAAGATATCTTTATTCAGGATTTAATAGCAAATAAGGAAATCCCAAATACATACTTGGTTTTAACTGTACAAAAAAATGTATTGCTCAAATATGTAATATAACCAATTTAATCAAATGTGGACAGCAAATCTAAATTCAAATCAACATCTTTACCAAATTTACCAATAGAATGGTTTGAAGTGGCATCTAAATTGTGATAGGGCCTAGTATTGCATTTTAATTTCTGTAGGAATATTGAAGTCCATTCGATTAGTTTATTGGGGTACGGTGGGAGGGGGAGAATACATTTTTAAATTCATCATGCATGGTCGCATAATTTGTGGTTTCCGTGGTAACAAGATCCAGGGAGACACGTTATCATTAATTATGTACAAGAATCCTTGCGTAACGTTTTTTCCCTGGTGTACATAAAAGCCTTCAATGACATTTGAGAAGGAAATTGAGGGACAGAAGACCTGTTTTCGACACGTATGCAAATAGTTGATGTGTCGAAAATTAAGACTCATTTGACTCATACATGTAAACACAGTTGGAATTAGGGACCTGAAGTATTAAAATACAAAAAGAATATATGCCATAATTTTTGTAGGCATTTAACAAAAGGTTGTTTTGCACCACGTGCAGACGTGTGTGTCATTTTGTACAAATGTAGGAATGTACATGTACAATTTGGAAAAAAAAGGTATTAATACAGTTTTGTTAAACCTAATGTTCTGATACACCGTGCCCTCTGGAGACATGCACACAATAGGGAACAAAAGATTGTATACGTCTCCACAGGGAAATTTCTATAGATGAATAGGTCTCCACAAGGTTTTCACAAAATAGATATATGGATTTTACTAAAAAACCTAGGAATTTCCAAAGTATGTTGATCCGTCGCAAATGGTAGAGTTTTAGAAAAGGAATAATAACTCCGAATTTCAGCCAAGGAAATTAATTCTGGTTAAAATGAGAGCATTTTTAAACTGCACTTTCAAACTCGAAAACTTTAGTACACGAGAACAAAGAAATGTCTCCACAAGGATACAAATTCCAGTATGTGTGTTTTACCACTTTAACTTCAGACAAAGATGTTTACATATGCCTTAGGTTGTTTTTAAAGTTGTAATGACAGGATGGCATTTTGTAGTAGAGCCACTGCTAAAAATGGTATTTTTAAAATTAGGGAAAAGATCTCATATCTAGATAAATGTTCTTGTCTCGCTCCCTAAACAATTTTTACAAGGGAGTGAGACAAAAAAAAAATTCTTGAAGCAAGAATAATTTTGATACATTAAGCTAGCATTTAATCAACAATGGGGCCGTTTGGCACCGTTTTTCGGGCCGTTTTATGAATATTTAGCAGGTCAAATGCTGCCTTCCATTTAGAATTTTCAAAAGAATGCTTTCTGAAAGCTCCGCGAAGCTGCGCCAATGCCGTGCCAATGCCGCGCCACTGCACTCTGGGTATGTAGTCCAGCGACTTTCATTTTTTAAAGAAATCTCATATATTTTTTTTGTTTTTGTATCAATATAAAGAGAATTACACAACAAAGTCAATGGCGTTTAAATTGGCTTCACAAGTGTTTGCATTTTGAAGATACATGTACATGTACAACCGAATGGCTACTTCTTGAGTTTGAATTCTGTAAGATCACTATTACTTTTAACATGTTTTTTACTTCGATATTTTCCAAACCTATCAAATGTTTGACATCATACGAATCCCAATTAAATACACAATAACATGATTTTGAATCAGCTTTTTATCGCTCACAACAAAAAAGTTATGATTGTTTTTCCCCGGACCTTCGAACTGTTCAGACATGCACCGGGCCCACACCATGATGCAACCCAGAAAATGTCAGACGGCCCGCCGTTAAACATACACGGAACATGCGTACACGTGTTATTGCTGTTACCGCATGCCATCCGGCATTGGACCAATGCCATGTGCCTATGGTAGTACACCATCAGTCTGGTTCCGGTTGCCACTACACAATATGTCTCGTCTGCATTTTACAAAATTTCTTGACCTTTTTTTTAATATATGATAGCGACCTTCTGTCCACCCCCCTCCCCCCCACCCCAGTAACCTCTCTGGATCCGCCCTTGTAATTATTGCATCAACGATTGACTGCTCACATACCTTCGTTTGATTCTTCCAATACAGAAAGTGTCCATGCTTGTCCACGCGCAGTGTAACCGGCGTTGCTGTGCTGGACTCCTGAAATTTGAAGGGAAAAAAAAATGACGTTAAGTTTCGAACCTGTAACTGTCCTCATACTGTACATGTAGAGTCCTAAAACTGATATAAACCTCAATAGCAAATTCCAAGTCAAAATACTGAGAGGAAAAAAGGAGCAATTCAAATATTTCACAAATTTTTCCAAAATAAACACTTCAAATGATAAAAACATTGTGCAAGCCTTTTTACTTAGTGCAACATTCGGAAAGTAGGTCTTAAAATCTAGAGATAAATATGGGAATCTTGCAATTTTTTTTTCAAATTTTCTGTGTGTGTACAGTTTGTGCATGAACAACTTGCAATCTAAAAGCTGAATATAACACAATACATGTACACGTACTAGTACATGTTTGCATGTAAACTGTGTACATGTAAACTGTGTACATGTATGTCCTATACTTGGACCAGGTGATATTACACACTGACTTTCACTTTCCAATCGATAGGTTTCATTAACACAAGCATTATTTGAACAAACGCAATATACTCATTGCCTAATTAGTGTGTCTTTCTGGATATTCAATATTTCAATGTTGCAGCGGGCTAGTCAGTTGGTAAGTAAAACCATAAGCTATAAAGTGGCATCAACACTAATTAAAGGGAATGTACCCGGTACATGTACAACACTTGCTTTTGCTGCAATTTTCAGAAATAAATGGATTTGGAGGATTAGTATGTTAGGCCTATAGCAAATATTGTTAAAATGACTTGTTTCACGTTTTGGGCTTGTAGATGCTGGAAAAACCAAGAAAACCGATCATGTTCTTATAGTCTGGTTCCCTGACCCCACTTAAGATGAAACAATGAATGTATCTATTGGGGAATTGTAAAGTCAGAAAATCAGTCTAGCAGGCTTGTACCCATTCACAGTTCAAGAAAACGCGGAATAACTACATTTGTAATTATGAAAAATTAGGAGCAGTTTTTATGCAAAAAGCCAGTTTTCTCCAATGCTGGTCGGCCGACCAGCGTTGGAAAAATACAGGGTTTTTTTTAAATGTCAGCACACTAGGAGCCAAGATTTTATAGGATGCTTTAGACTGTCAATCCCTAACAATTCCGTACTTAGGTATTTTGTGATAAGTTGATCATTTCATTTTTTGATGTTTGCAAATGTTGTATTTTCCCTTTAAGTGGCATGCACACTAATTTATCGGTTCAAAAATGAGCAAGAAAAATACAGTTGTTTTTTTAAATGTCAGCACACCAGGAGCCAAGATTTTATAGGATGCTTTAGACTGTCAATCCCTAACAATTCCGTACTTAGGTATTTTGTGATAAGTTGATCATTTCGTTTTTTGATGTTTGCAATCTTCCCTTTAAGTGGCATCCACACTAATTTATCGGTTCATATAATTTCTTTTAAAATTTATTTGATAACTACATGTAGGAGAGGGAGCAATGTGATCCACCCCCTTCCTACAATGTACAATCTGCTTTCTTTCTAAGTAAAAACTCAATCATGGGCCACTTCCAATCCGGAAGACTCATCGCAAATTAGGCGCAGTCACAAATAAACTGCCCCCCCCAAAAAAAAATTCAATATCTCCCAGCACGGTTCACGTCTTAATGTGGGGGATGCAGTAACCATGGCAGCAGGTTCTATTGAAAGCTGTTTATTGATGACCCGTAGACATCATCATGCACACGTGCACAATGTACATGTACGTGTGCATAATGCAAATGATGCATTTTACACACATTTTATTTAATTTATTTATTTTCAGGCATACAAAAAATTAACACTTTGAGAAAAGGACAAGCCTGAGGAATGCCCAGAAGCAAACTAAATCACCATATAAAGGGCTTTCCCGACAACAAGTAAAATACTAGATTAAATAAAATACAGCCGTACAATAATTTCTGTTTTAAGTACTCAATAGAAACATCCACATTATAAGCACAGGAATAACAACAGGTCATTATTACAAAAAAAAGTAATTAAAAAAAACCTTAGTATCCAATTTGAGGTGGAAAAAAATATTTTGCAAAAGCCTTAAACAATACCATTTAAGAAAAACAATGTCTGCACCTTGTTTTGCATCCAGGTAGTCCAGGTTTCTAGTCAATGTCTAGTCATTGTCTTTTGGCCTGTTTCGAATTTTGAAAATTTTGCACTTTACCGATAGACATGCCAATGGACTCCCCACATGCTGACATTTCGACAAAAAGCCAGGAGATGAAATTGACAAATTTATTTTCACAACTTAGACGGAATTATTAGGTGGACATGTCAACTGCCTGTGGTGCATGTGTCGCTTTCCAATGCAATGTTCCAGTGATCCAGTGATGTACTGCATGTTCTCCACCAAAACGGACAATGTCAAAAAAATAACTGGTCTTTTTTTCCCCTTCAAAATATGTCTTAGACTGAATTGTTTAATTTTTATCGGGTCAAAATAAGGCCTCATACTTCTTTCAATGAAAAAAAAAGGGACTGCACAACGTTTCACTGATCCAGGGCACTTTAGTATACGAATGAAATGAAGCACGTGAAATAACCATCTGTGACACTGAGTAAACTGATAATAGAAGATGCTGATTGTTCATTCGATATCCTGGCAATACCAGACACATTACAGCTCAGAATCACCTGAGCCCTATTGTACACTGATGGCTCCCAATCAAATATTGTCATCAGCCAAGAAATTAACTAGTCAGATATCACACCGGTTGGTTTTATTTCATTTTGGTACGTTTTCAAAAAGAAACCAAAATTAAGAGGAGAATAACATGTGCAGTCGACGCTTATATACATGTACTGGTACATGTACATGTACGTATACATAAACAAATTACATGTACATGTATAATCAGATGCACAAAATGCTTTTGAATGTGTTTTATTCTTAACATTTTAAAGACTTTCCCAAATCAAAGCAACAGAGAAATTGGGAGTTTGCTTATTCTTTGTTTCTTTTTTTGGGGGGGGGGGGACTGCAGTATTCTGGCATTCAAATCCCAGGTTTCACGTTCAATTCCTGTTACAATTCATTAATTTGATGTCTCATCATTCAAAAGTCAATAACTGGTGTATAGCTAGAAAAATAGTTGATCAAAACAATCTCTTTTTTATGGTATTGATGGTGAAACTTGAAAAAAACATATTTTATAGTACTGATGTTTATATATATTTCTCATTAAAAGGCATCCGTGGACACAAATACCATGGCAACCAAAAAAATTCACATTCATTATGAATTCCTACCAGTCGGACCAGTCGGTTGATTAAATTCAGAACCCAAAAGGGAGAACGATAGCTTTGGTAACAAGCGCGATCACTATGGCAACACTGGATGGTCTAGTACATCATCAACATGTCTATTTCACGCCAACAGAATCTCCCGCTGGACTTTGACCGCTTCGCCTCCCCTTTGTTTTTGTGTGCGTAACCAGGCGTGCCCACAATTAAGTGAATCGTGAAATTCCCAGGAGGATCGTGGAAATACTCCAGAGCAGAATTACTTTCTGGTTTGATCAACGGTGTACTGAAAGAATGAGAGATCGCTGTCATTTTTTTATTGTTACCGTAGAATGCTGATTTAACTTGAATATAAACTGAACGTCCGCTTTGCCTCTCACATTTTGTGTACAATTGAACTGAGCATTACTGACTGAAAATCACCACAACAAACGACAACAAAATGGAAGAAACTGTTGCACCTCTGTTGTGTTCGTTATAAAGAATTTTGTTTTGTGCATACATGGTATACATACATGTACATGTACTGGGGTGACAGAAAAAATATGAGGACAATAGGTCCTCAGTTGGCCACTTGTCCTCGGTTGAAAAATTTGCATATAAAATGAAATAACAGCCCTTGAAAGTTACCGGTAGGTACAATTAAATGTACCATTGGGCTTCTACACTAGCTGTGGCACACTTTTGGAATATTATACAGCGTGTAAGGTCTCGCCAGTCCATGGAAATTGAGGTCAACAAATTTCAATTTTACAATAGTCATCAATTCGCAATATTTTCTAAATGTTGTAAATTGTAATAATGCTTTCTTTTCTTTTGAAATACCCATTGATTACCCTTGAATGGATGGGCCCAAATCGGACACAAAATAAGTGAAAAAACATTAGACGTCCGTTACACACGTTGTAGATCCTATACATTTGTACATAGTGCCCAGATGTGTTGTAATCTTGTAAAATGTTGCAGGTTTTTGAGGTCAATTACACGCTCTATTATTTCAACTTCATCATATTTTTTCAGAGTCAACAATTTGGGTTCAAATACGACTTCACTGACTACTTCATGCAAAGCTCATCCAAATAACCCAAACCATTGAACTTGTACTAAGACTCCATATCACACAAACAATAAATCAACAGCACGTTGTCTTAAAGGGGGTGTGTCAATCCATTGATTGATGACAGCCGTTTTCCAAATATCGTCGCAGTGTGAAAGATACAGCTGTTGTTAACATTACCAGCAATGGCCAAAGTGCAGATCAACTGGCAGCGAGGGTAGCATAAACGTCTCCATTTCAAAGTTTACCACATGTACTAAATTCAAAATTATGGGAATTTACTCCAGCTTAAAGGGACACTAGGTCCTGGAACAGCCAAATTGGGCTACAAAACGTGCTTTGAACGAGATGATGTTAATCGGAAATAACATTTAAAAGTAGGATATAACCATCCACACAACTATCCTTTCAAAACTGGGCATTTTTTTGTTATTTCTGTATTATGCGTGCCAGAACGAATTTCGACCCCATAAATTCGAGCTGTTTGGATGCTAGTTGTGATTCATTCATAAAGTGTTCCCCTTTTGCGGACGTTGAAGAAACCACTTTTTTTTGCATTGGTGATTGGTCACTGCTGTTCCCGAGACACACAACATGTATCGTACACTGAGAACGACACGAAAAACGTATTCGTACTCCGTCATGTCCGATGTCAACAAGCGGGTTTTTGTTTTTTTTCGGGAACGGTAAGACATTAGGTTGGTTTCCTTTCAACCAGAT